TCTTCTAAGGAAATTAGGAGAGGTGTGGAAAAGATTTCTACATAAAGAATTTCATTATCGCATGCGTGACAAGAGCAAAAATCTTGGGAAAAATTCCAAAGCCTAACAATAAGGGAACGGTTTTGTAAATTATGGTGTGTGCCTAGATAGAACATCATAGAACCATTTTCTGTGGAAAATGGTCATATACGTAAAGTATAATTTCATTTATGTGCCATTTGTCTTTCTCCCTCTATACACACACACACACACACACACACACACACACGGAAAAAAACCTGAAATATACCAGTGTGTTCACAGTGTTACATGTGGACTGTGGGATTGTGGATTTAAACATGTTATTCTTTGTTGTATTTTCTCCCTTTTTTCCATTGTGATCAGAAAAGAAACGTAAGAGAAAGTTGGCTTAAAATAATGTTATCCAGCAAAAGCCTCCATCACCTTTCTGTTATGAACCAGTGAGCAGTGTAAGTGCCTATCTGTTGACACTGACAATGACTGAAGGCATTTAAAGATTTTTGATCATATTATCGAGTGCTACCAACAACACAGACCTCCGGTAAGGAGTATAATCATCCCCATTATATAGATGACAGAACGGAGGCTCCTAACAGATAAGAGGCTTGTTCCAGAAGTCACAGTTTTCACTGGTGAAGCCAGGGCTCAAGGTAGGCTTGCCTGACACCAGGACGCCGTCTTTCCCTACTAGAAGTCCACACTCTTCCCTCCCGTACAACATGCGATTTCTCGGGCGACAGCCCTTCTAAAGGGAGCCCGCGTCATAAAACAATGTGGGTCAGAGACGTGCGCCGGCCCAATGCTGAGTCCCATCTCGTTCAGTTGTTGGAGTCAACTGGTTGTCAGAAGACTGATTGGAAGAGAAAATCCAAGTTTCCCCGAGGTCGAGGAAAACAGGCTTTTGTTCCTCTTTCATTCAATTAAAAACAGGGAGAAAGCCTGTAGGAGGGCTGAGGCCTCTCCTAAACAAAGCTGCTGACCTTTTCCTAAACAAAGCTTCCGTTACCCATTTTCTCTGCCTCCATGCCTGACCCAAACCCTGCACGTGGACACAACCTGTTCCTTTAGAAACAACAATAACGTGCGCCGGCTACAATCCAGGCCTCCAGGTCTGGAGGCCTTTTCCACCTCCTTCTGTGACTGTCCACATCTCCGTGATGCGCTATGAGTTGTTGGTAGTTAACTCGCACAGGGCAACCTCCTTTTCTTTACTCTTTTGGTTCTTTTTTTTTTAAATTGTTTTTAACGTTTTTTATTTATTTTTGAGACAGAGAGAGACAGAGCATGAACGGGGGAGGGTCAGAGAGAGAGGGAGGCACAGAATCTGAAACAGGCTCCAGGCTCTGAGTGGTCAGCACAGAGCCCGATGCGGGGCTCGAACCCACGGACCGCGAGATCGTGACCTGAGCCGCTTAACCGACTGAGCCACCCAGGCGCCCCTACTCTTTCGGTTCTTAAAAGGGAGCCGTGTTTGCTTGGATCCCTTTGGTCTCCACGACCTGCCCGGACCCTGCAGGGTAGAGGGAAGGATTAGCAATCGTGGTGGACAGACTATCATCCTGTAGACTCCCTGAAGACAGGGTAATGCCAGCCTGTCCTCATGCGTGTCTCCATTGTTTGGCATGGTGCCCTGCACGTGACAGGTCCGCGGTCATCCCTGATGAGTAGCAGTGCGAACGAAGGACCTTAGCACGGAGCGCACTGGCTGGAAGATCATGGACAAACCCTAGCTGCCACGTTGTTACCCTGCCCTCTCTGGCCCTTCGTCTGTGTGTCTATATTACAAAGGGCTTGCGCTAGGTGGTCTCAAGGGTCCCCTCTGGTTCTGACATCTGTGCCTGTGTCTGCAGACTCCTGAAGTGTGCTGGGGCTCAGGGAGGAAAGATGAGCTTCTCAGCATGTGCACGGAATGATTTGATGTGTTCTCCATGTGAGACGAAGAGCCCGTGGACCCTCCCGGGGCTCACTCCGCCCCCTCCAGCCCTCCATCTGGGCCCCGTCCGCGTGGCAGTCTGCAACATCTGTCACAAGCGCTCCGTGCCGGGATGACTCTCGCCTCAAGTATGTCCTCGGAAAGCCCTGGCGATGGGGAGCTGGCCGGGAGTTTGCGTAACTCGATGAGTGGCCAGAAGAATATCTGCGAAGGGCTCTGATGCTGGGGTGGGTCAGCGTTCTGTGACTGTGCAGGGTGACCCGACGGTGACACATGGTTTGCAAACTCCATTTCCCGTTTTCTTTGGACCATCATTGCCCTTTTTAGCCTAAAAAGGAAGGGCTTGGGATAGCTGACCCAAACATAGTATGAAAAATAAATGAGGCAACCAGGGGATGGAGGGAAAATAAAACTTGCTCCTGCTTGTCGCCTCGGACCCTCTCGGCACCCTTCTCCATCCTGCTGTCCGCCCTGGGGCGCCGACCTGTGGGGACTGCCTCTCGATCCTCATTGGGTTTGGCCATGGGGGTTGCCCTCGGGAGGTCAGAGGGAGAGGGAGGGGAGGTCAGAGGGAGAGGGAGGTGAGGACACGAGTGGGCCACGTCCCTGCCACAAAGGAGGTCATCTCTTCTCAAGGTGACCTCAGCAAGACACTCTCTTTCTAGACAGGTGACTGCTTCATCCCCTGGAACCCGCTGTGACTAACTAGTCTCTGGCCACTGTGTCCTTCCCCTACCTCCAGCCCATGCCCCTGCAAGTGTCCCATTGTAAATAAACCCTTCTTGAATCACCCTAATTTGAGGGTTCCATCTGTTTCCTGTTAGGACTCCGACTGATATAAAAGGATAAAAAAAAAGAGGCAGTTAGAAATCCTGCTCATAAATGAAATACAACTGTAATGCCCTGTACATGTGTCCCCCTGCCCCTCCACAAAAAAAGATGCATCAGCGCACCTGTTACACTTTTTACGCTGAACTTCCTGGTGACCAAAGCAACAGAACCACAGGACGGGACCTCTAGTCTTATCTCCCCTTTCCGTCAGAGCCCGGAAGAGCTTCCTAACTAAAACTCTTACCGTCTCGCTCATTACCTTGTATCATAGATTGAATTGTGGGTCCCCCAAAGGTATGTTCTTGTCTTGACCCCTAGTACCTGTGGATGTGACCTTCTTTGGAAAGAGAGTCTTTGCTGATATCATGTTAAAATGAGGTCGTACTGGAGTTGGGAGGGGGCGGCTAATGGCATGACTGGTGTCCTTATAAGAGGGAAATTTGGACACACACACACACACACACACACACACACGCAGGGAGAGCACCATGTGAAGCTGGAGGCAGGGGTAGGAGTGAAACCTTCGCAGGCGAGAGGCACGGAACCCATCCTCCCTCAGAGCCTCCAGGAGGGGCCAAGCCTGCCGGCACCTTGATTTCAGACTTCCGGCCTCCAGAGCCGTGAGAGAACACATTTCTGTCCGCTCCAGCCACCGAGTTTGTGTTAATTTGTTATGGCAGCTGTAGGGCCACTAACATGCCTTCTTGCGGTGCCAAGGTTCCTCACGATCTGGCCTCACTGCCATTTCCAGCTTCATCTCCCCCCTGCCCCCTGCCACTCAAGCTCACCCTTGTAGCTCTGGTTCTCACATGCACTGCACCATTTCAGGTTTCTAAGCCTCTGGCTGTGGTCTTATTGCTGCCCGGACCGCCTTTTCTCGCTTTCTGGATGCTGCTAAGGTTTTTCGATTCAGTTCAGAGGTCACCTTCCCCAAGGGGCCTTCCCTGTCTCTCTCAGCTGTGGTGGGTCCATCTTCTCTGGACATCTGGACGCTCATGTCACCCGTGGTAGGTAGCTGCCACCTGCATTTGCCTCCCTAGGTGGTAACCTCCTCAAGGACAAGGTCCTGTTCCTCTCTGCATCTCCAGGGTCTGGAACAGCACCTGGCGCCCAGTAGAGGCCCCACTGATGTTTATAGGACTGGACGGTTCCTTCGCACGGCATTTGTCCAGGACCTGCGATAAGCTGGGCGCTTTTCTAAGTACTTTGCAGGGATGTCGTACGTGGATGAGGAAATCGAGGCCTGAAGAGCACGAAGGTTAATTTGATGTGTCCACCTTGTCAGGCTACAAGCGCAGTTGTTTGGTCTGCCGTCAGTCTGGATGTAATAAAGGTATTTTTCAGATGCGATTAACATTTCTATCAGTCAACTTGGAGTAAAGCAGATTACTCTTCATAATAGGGTGGGCCTTACGTGATCAGTTGAAGGCCAGGTGAGAAAGGACTGAGGTCCCCCATGGGGGAAGGGATTCTGCCTCCAGAATGCCTTTAGACTCAGCGGCAATATCAACTGTTAGCTGAATTTCCAGCCTGCCCGCCTGCCCCCCTGCCCTGTGGATTTCAGACTTGCCAGCCTCCACAGCCAGGGGGGGCGATGCCTTAAAATAGATCTCTCTGAGTTTCTCCACATATATCTCATGGGTTCATTTGCTCTGAGCAAGCCTGACTAATAGAGAGAAGTGTGTGCCCCAACATGGTTAACTGGGGTTGACTTTAGGTCTGACACTACAGCCTAGGCTGTTTCGTCCCAGTCTGTCGCCTCTTCACGTTGGACGGATAGAGGGGAGCCCAGTCAGGGAGGATCCGAACGCTGTGTTTTTTGTCCATGACACATCTATCTTGAGCAATCAGCTTGGAGCTTTGCGTGAACTGTGTTGATCAAACGGGTTGTGTATTTACCGAATCTCCTTTTGCTTTTGTCCAGCAAACAGAAATGTTTATTCCCTTAAAAAGCACAAATGCTAAGTGGGGCAATATGAGGGGAACACCCAGTCCTTTAAAGACGCAGAGATTTTCGTTGGCAGAACATTAAAAGTGAGAGATGTTACTTTCAGGTCTTAGGAGCAAGGCCATTTTTCATCTTTGTGTCATACTGTGGCTCTGCAGCTCAGAAACAGCAGCACCACCCAAACGTCCACTCCCATGTGGATCACTGTCTGCCTTCCAGAGAATTCCATCCCAGGACGGGACCCGTGTGATGGCGAGCCACCGAGAAAGGCAGGCGGGGGAACTGCCCTTTAGTGGGAAGCTAACATTTCTTTTTTTTTTTTTTTTTTTACCTTAAGCCTTACTAGCCCTTAAACGGGCTTATGCCATTCTGCGAATGACTAAGCAGAGCCCAGAGGGAAGCGGCAGCTTGCTTTGATGGAGAAACATATTCAAGACGTAATTTGTGAACATCTGCTCTGTGCCAGGCCCTGGGCTGAGTTGCTGAGGATTCCATGGTGAATAAGAATGACCGGCTCTGTCCTCGTGCCACTAACATCCGAGTGAGACAGAAAGGATGAGACACATAAGAATCACACCCATGCAAAGACAGAGCTGGGCTTTGAACCGGTGGAAGGCTTCAAATCCCAGAGCGTCCTGTGCTCATTTCTTTTGGGGCTGCCCGTGCCTCATCATGCTCATGATTCTGGTGCCTCCTTAGACTATTGTCCCTGAAAAATTCCCATTGAACCCAGCAGGTCTTAGTAAGATGATTTGCTTCTCTTTAGTCATAGGAGATTTGGGGGCGGTTGAAAGGTTGGAATCCCGGCTCCAATTCTTACTAAGTGTGCAACTTTGGACAAGTCCCGTGACCTCCCTGAATTTCATTGTCCTCATCTGTTGTATGAAGTTGAGCTGAGAGCCTGAGTGGGAATGTGCTTTGTAAACATCAAGAAGTTCTCCAAATGCTGGAGATGATGAAACAAACAAACAAATGGACAATCGTCTGCCTAACCCTCTTGATGAATAGCTGGGAAGTATTCTGAATAGTACAAGAGTGATAGCCAGGGTGAGGGTTTTCCTTGTATAAAACATGCCACAGAGTCTTTAAGCAAATTAATAACACCAGACTGGAAAAAAATAAAATAAGGGTTTACAGTCTATATAAAGTTTAACTTGGTTTTCTAGTGTTTCAAACCTCATTTCCCTATAAGTGAGTATTTCCTTACAATGTGTTAGTTACAATAACGCTTCATTTACCAAGGCAGGGAAAAGAGAACAAGCGTGAGGTATCTCACCCACTAGGCTGAGAGCAAGGGGCTCTGTGTTTTAAATTCTCGCATAGAAACTTCTCTTTCCTTTCCTTTTAGGTGAGGGAGCTGTCGCCTATAAACCTTTGCCCGCTGACCACAGCTCCATCCCGAAAAATTCTGGGTGATGAGTACAAATACCTAGCATCTTTATGTTCTAGAGTTGTTACGCTTTATTTCCTGAGTTGTTTGGGGGTCTTTGTGGACAGCCTACAATGTAGTCACTAGGTTCAAAACGATGTAGCTAAGCCACATCTCCTTCCTCTCTTGCCGTGGTGTCCTCAGCACAGAGTAACTGTTCAATAAATGAGAGCCATTGTTAACACAGTGATAAATACTATTGTTATTTTTACTGCTCTTCTTAGGTCATCAGTGAATATGTGGCAATCGGGATGCTGGCCAAAAAGGATCTGGGAATGGAAAACAAATTTAAAAAACGTGTGTCCTTGTAGGTCCTCATTCACAGCCTGTGTTTTTGTATGTGACACAGAGTTCTAATGTGTGTAGCACTTAGGTTACGCACAGAGGATTAGACATAGCAGAATCTTCCTATGATGAAAGGAAAAAGTATGCCTGTTTCTATCTGCCAGAGACTGAAATGTGATTTTACTAGCAGGGTGTGATTTGGGGCAGCATGTCTCTAGGCTCTTTTATTTTATTCTTAATTTTTCATTTATTTATTTGAGAGAGTGAGAGAGAGAGCAAGCGTGAGCAGAGGAGAGGGGCAGAGGGAGAGAGAGAAACAGTCCTAGGCAGGCTCTATGCTCAGCGTGGAGCCCGATGCGGGGCTTGATCCCATGACCGTGGGATCATGGCCTGAATCAAAATCAAGAGACAAGACCCCCAGCCAGCTGAGCCACCCACAGGCGCCTCGAGCCTCTTTTGTTTTAAAAAAGACAATGATTTATATTAGAAATAATATCCCCCATCTTATGGTGATGATAATACCCATTCTACAGAGTTATCAGTGAGGGAAACGGCTAGTGTTTGCACAGCTCTTTGTTTTGCACGTGGTCCCTTCATCTACCTGGTGGCTGTCAGTCCCCTGAGGGCACTGAGTGATCTGTGCCTGTGTTCCGACTTGACCAGTGAGCCAAAGCAGGCCTGGGGGGGGGGGGCGGGGAGGGGGGACAGGAAGTGATGCTTCTCGGGCTACTCCGTTCATTAACGAGACAGTTGGGATCACAGTCCAGCTTCACTTCCTTCCATCTACTCTGTTGCTCTTAAGTGCGATTATTATGACCTCAAATATGGTAGAATATGGCTTTAAAAAGGGGGGGCCCCTTGAGGAGGTGGGGTGATGAGTGTGGAAGACCGTCAGTAGTGTCAGCCTTATTATGCCAGTCGACAAAGTACCCCTATGTAGTAGCACATGAGGGCACTCACAGGAGGAAAACAGTATGGAGTTTCCTCAAAAAACTAAAAATAGAACTACCCTACGACCCAGCAATTGCACTACTAGGCATTTATCCACGGCTTATGGGTATGCGTTTCTAAGAGACGCAGGCATCCCAATGTTCATAGCAGCACTATCAACAACAGCCAAAGTATGGAAAGAGCCCAAATGTCCATCGATGGATGAGTGGATAAAGAAGATGTGGTATATATATACAATGGAGTATTATTTGGCAATCAAAAAGAATGAAATCTTGCCATTTGCAACTACATGGATGGAACTGGAGGGTATTATGCTAAGCAAAATTAGCCAGTCAGAGAAAGACAAATATCATATGACTTCACTCATATGAGGATTTTAAGAGACAAAACAGATGAACATAAGGCAAGGGAAATGAAAATAATATAAAAACAGGGAGGGGGACAAAACAGAAGAGACTCATAAATATGGAGAACAAACTGAGGGTTACTGATAGGGTTGTGGGAGGGGGGATGGGTTAAATGGGTAAGGGGCACTAAGGAATCTACTCCTGAAATCATTGTTGCGTTATATGCTAATTTGGAGGTAGATTTTAAAAAATAAAAAATAAAATTAAAAAAAAACCCAAATGGTTTTTATAATGTAGAATTATGACAAAGGATTTAGAACAAAGTACACGTGGATAAGACTCATTTATTTCCCAAGGTTTGGTTGTACAAAATTAAGTTATTTTGTTATTTTGGTTTTTGGAACTAAAGACAAGGCCACATTCTGGTGGGCAGGGTAGGTTTTTCTTTTGAAGACAAGAATTGATTTCATGATTAGTCATTCTTGGAATCATTAATTCTAAAAAAAATTTTTTTTCCAACGTTTATTTATTTTTGGGACAGAGAGAGACAGAGCATGAACGGGCGGAGGGGCAGAGAGAGAGGGAGACACAGAATCGGAAACAGGCTCCAGGCTCCGAGCCATCAGCCCAGAGCCCGACGCGGGGCTCGAACTCACGGACCGCGAGATCGTGACCTGAGCTGAAGTCGGACGCTTAACCGACCGCGCCACCCAGGCGCCCCTGGGAACCATTAATTCTGGGACAGAACACGAGTGAAACTTTGAATTGGGTCCGAAAGGTTTTGGCTCCAGGCTTTGAGTTGGGGAAGGAGGGCTGAGACGACATCGATGGTGGTGGGAACGAGGGTAGGGGGGTAAAGTGGGTTGAAGAATGGCCCCCAACGATAGTAGGTCCCAATTCCCGAAACCTGGAGATTGTATCTTATTTGGAAAGAATTTTTGCAGCTGTGATTAAGTTAAGGCTGTTGAGATGGAGAGGTTGTCCTGGATTATCTGGGTGGGCCTTAAATTCAATAACATGTACCCTTTTAAGAGGCAGGCAGAGGGAGATCTGAGGACACATGGAAAGGGAGGAGGCAATGCGTTTAGGAGGCAGAGATTGGAGTCACGCAGCCGCGTGTCAAGGAATACCGACAGCCACGAGACGCTGGGAGAGGCAAGGAACACATTTTCCCCTAGAGCCTCTGGAGGGAACGTGGTCCTGCTTACACGTTGAGCTTGGTCCAATGACAACGATTTCAGATTTCTGGCCTCCAGAACTGTGAGGAAATACATTTCTTCGTTTTAAAATCATCAAGCTTTGTGGTCATTTGTTACAGCAGCTGCAGAAAACTAATACAGGGGCTTAGAGAATAGTAAGCTGCCCTCGGCCATGGAGAGGCAGTGCACGCCCCAGCCGGAACTGGAACCTCCAACTTCACCGGTGACGGTAATGGCAGTTGCAACACTGAGATAAGCTGGTTCTGGAGCAGCCAATATCCGTGGCGGGATCGAGGGAGTGAATCTGAATCCCAGCACCACTAGCAAGGGATGAAGGAGCTAGGAGTCCTCCTGGACCATGAGGGAGGCCACGCTCTTGCAGAAGCAGGGTGGGGCGTCAGTGTCTGTCACAGGTAGAGACAGTGGCTCCCGGCAAAGCAGAGACTATTTAACCTGGAGGCAGTAGAATGTCTAATGGCAAGTGCAGGGCCTGGACACTTGCAGGGCTTGGAACTTGAGTTGAAATGAAACCTGTATCCCATATATCTAAATATTTAAAGCTTACCAATCGACCCAATAAACTATTACATGTCGCGATAACAAGTTTTTAAAAAATGTTAAATTGCTGTTTTTATATGTAGTCTTAAAACTACATTTAGTTTTTATTTTTTAAATAATTTTATTTGTTTTGAGGGTGAGACAGAGAGCCAGAGAGCAGGGGAGGGGCAGAGAAAGAGGGAGGGAAGGACTCTCAAGCAGTCTCTGTGCTGTCAGCACAGAGCCTGATGTGGGGCTCGATCCCATGAACTGTGAGACCATGACCTGAGCTAAAATCAAGAGCCAGACACCCAACTGACTCAACGGCCCAGGCGCTCCTAAAACTACATTTAAAATGTAGTTTTTCAATGCGTGAAAGTTGGCAAAGTATAAAAGATGACTGGATTTAATTATTAGTGAACATATCTGAGTGTTCTGTTGGTGAGCCCATGTTTGGAGGCGTGAAAAAACTAAGACATATGTAATGCATAAATTTGTATGTCATTATCCATTAAATGAATTTTTCTTGCCTCCATTTCTGTAAAATTAGCAGTCGTGTCGTTATGTCTTTTGGGGGCATTGGCTCCTTTATCGTTACATAATGCCCTTTTTGGTCTGTGATAACTTTCCTTGCTTTGAAGTCTGCTCTGTCTGAAATTAATGCACCATGGCAGTCTCGCTGAGTTGAGGAGTCAGAGATCAGAGTTCAGGGAGGTAGACTTTGCTGGAATTTGCAGAGCAGAGTACCAGAGAGGAGGAAACTATGCAGAGGAAAAGCTCCGGATATCGGCACATCCTCTTGAGTCTGTTGCTGAATATTGAGCTGCACATGCATAGGGGCATCTCTATAAAGCCAAGAAAAGGATGACTAGAGAAGCAATAAATAGGACTATTTCCAAAGCTTGTAGCACTCAGAGATGTCTGTAACCAGAGTAGAGAGACTTAACTGAACCCCCAAGGCATTCGGTAAACACCAGAAGGGTCACCCCGTATTAGAAGTACTTATTTATTTATTTATTTTTTTATTTTTGGGACAGACAGAGACAGAGCATGAACGGGGGAGGGGCAGAGAGAGAGGGAGACACAGAATCAGAAACAGGCTCCAGGCTCCGAGCCATCAGCCCAGAGCCTGACGCGGGGCTCGAACTCACGGACCGCGAGATCGTGACCTGGCTGAAGTCGGACGCTTAACCGACTGCGCCACCCAGGCGCCCCAAGAAGTACTTAAACTAGTCCTCAATAAAGCCTACTCTATAAAGCTTGAAACATTCCTGAAAGGATGAAGTGGATTCACAAGTAACGTAGATGCCTGCCAGAACAAAGCCTAACACTCTTCAGAGGAAGACAACAAAACCCAGCACACAACAATGCCCATGATCCAATTAGACATGTAAAGAAGCAGGAAACTGAGATGAACAAAAGAGAAAAAAGCCAATAGAAACATACCCAGAAATGACCCAGATAATGGAATGAACAGATAAGAACTTTATAATAACTATAAACATGTTCAAGTCTTTAAAGGGAAACAAGGATACAATAAATATTGAAATGAAAGGTATGAAAAAACCAGTGAAATAAAACTTTTACAGATAAAAAAGTATATTTTTAAGTAAAAAAATGTCACATCTAATGGGATTAACACAGAGTAGACCTTATGGAAGTTAACATTCTTGAACCAATAGGCTGTCTGTGTTGGTTTACTTAGGCCACCATAACAAAATGTCACAGACTGGGTGGCTAACACGACAGGAGTTTATTTTCTCACAGTTCTGGAGGCTGAAGTCCAAGATGCTTTCAGGCCTGGATTCAGGTGAGACCTCTCTTCCTGGCTTACAGACAGCTGCAGTCTCATTGTGTCCTCACATGCCCTCTTCTCTGTGTTCCCACACATACACAG